AATCGATTTGAATTCAAAGTATCAAACACTTTATCCATTTTTCCAATAAAAGTACCCGTCAAATTAATTTATTTGTAATTGCAACAGCAGCCATCTATAAGATGGATATGCATGTCATGTTTTACACTCACACACAAATTGACAATACACTCAGAAACATGTAGTTAAAAATAGAAAATATAATATATAATGATGAATGTAAATGGTCCTTGTGACTGATTCATTCTAACGAGTCATTGAATAATTCTCTAACCGAATAATATGCTTTTGCCAACATCATTTTTTTAATTGTTTGTTTGTACTTTCCGAAACTCATGTTCTGTAAGCTGCTCGGTAGTTTGTTAAAAAAACTTAGCTCCGACATATCCTAGACTTTTTTCAAATTTTGTTTATTTATGTTGAGTTACGCTCAATTCATTTGCAGTTCTTGTTGGATAATTATGAGAGGACGAGTTCCTCTTGAATGAATGCATGTTTTCTTTTACATAACTTAATGTTTCATAGATATATATGCAAGGAAAAGTCAATATTTTGTTGTCAATAAATATAGTCTTGCAGCTATATTCGGATTTCATACTGAACATAAGCCTCAGGATGCGTTTTTGGCAGACAAAAATTCTTTCAGCATTAGTGCAATCTCCCTAAGAATAACGTTGTATGTGAGGTGGCAGTATACTAGTGAATAGTATATGTCCAAAGGAACGGTTTTGTCCATTGTTTTTTTTAGCTTCAGTATAGCAAAGAATTAATTTTTTTTGTATGTGTTGAAGATGGTTGTCCCATGATATATATTGATCTAGGTGGAGTTCTAAGAATTTGGTCGATTCCGAGTTCTGAATTACGGCAAGAGAAGAACTGGGACTGTTTCTTCTGCACATAAATTGGATATATATCTATATTGCTTTTCCTTATCCAAGTTGTTCAAGTTGTCCAAGATGACTCATGTTCGTTGTGAATTCATCAAATTTCAAAAAGTCATCGAAAAAATGGTTTCTGCTACATTTCAGCAGATGAGGAGTATCAAAAAAGTAAAATATTTGTTTCGCATCAACAAAGAAATATGGATATTTTGAAATTTCATTTCGAAATATTAATTTTTTTGTACGTATGTATCTCTCGTCGATACATCCTTCAGACACGTTTCGATCTCTGTTAGAGTAGTCTGTATGTAGGTGATCTCTCGAATAATTTCAGCATGGTCCTACTGCTGGAAGAACGAGAAACATCTGTGAAACTTATCTCTGTGAGGTATCTTGCATAAATGTCTGTTGGATATAATTCAATAGCCATTGGTATTAGCCAGGGAAGTAGTTTTTTTTGGCAGGCATTTACCAGAACATACGGTGTAGGTAATTGGCAGAAATGAAATATTGAGGTTCCACTATGAAATATTGCTTTTCTCATATGTAGGTGATCTCTCGAATAATTTCAGCATGGTTCTGCTGTTGGAAGAACGAGAAACATCTGTGAAACTTATCTCTGTGAGGTATCTTGCATAAATGTCTGTTGGATATAATTCAATAGCCATTGGTATTAGCCGGGGAAGTAGTTTTTTTTGGCAGCCATTTACCAGAACATACGGTGTAGGTAATTGGCAGAAATGAATATTTCGAGATTGTTATTTCTCTTTGAAAATATTTCCTTTTCAAGTTAATTAAATCGGAATACTAAAAAATATATCATATGAGTACAAACGTAACATTTAATCTCAAGCGAATTTTCTACATAATATTCTACTAAATTTTTCAAAATGTTATATTTCCTGTATTCAACATTACAATTATTATAACAATAAACCCTTGAAACAAAGCAATATAAAAAATTGTAGGTGCCACTGATGTTATTTATTATTTTTAATATTACAATTATATGGTTCATAATTTTGGACATTATTTGATAAAGATTTCTCTCAACCTGATGGAGAACAATAAATGAAAAAAATTTCAAAAACTACGCCTCACGATTTGATCTTCACAAACTTTATCAAATCGTGAGGTGTAGTTTTTGGAATTACTATGGATCTTCATCAAGTAACGGCCGAATCAATCAGAAAAAAAAATGAAAAAAATGTGAACACTCTTTACTGTATCAGGTATCTCTTCACCTATGGAGATAAACGTGACAGAATGAATTTTGCTGCCATCTGTTGCCGTCTTTTCTATATATTTATAAATAGTTACAGCCTTCTGTCATTTATATTATTCTCTTTTTAGTATATACCTACCTTTAAGTTAGATAACCATTCGTTGGTGGCTAGCAATTCTTTGTGTTAATAATGTTGAGTCAGGTTTTTCTGTTGGGTTTCGATCAACAGCAGACTCGATAGTATGCCTGACTTTGGTGCTGCTGATTTTTTACGTACATATTGAATATGCTTGTACCATGTGCCTCACGTTCAAAGATAGAACACTGTCACCCTCACTGGTATACACCGATGTTTCGCCTTAAGACACTTGCCCTAAGGCTCTTCAGTACCAAATTGCATAACATTATAGAAAATACACACACTTCATTCATGAATTACGATTTTGAATGTCACGGAATAAGCTAGATCTGCTTATGTCATCGATGACATCGTAATGACATTCATTCACCTATTTTATTTAATCCCAGCCAAGAGGAATCTTATTTGAATTGAACCCCTTCAATTCAAATTTATCAAGTGTTGTTCAAAAATCAGCTGTATCTTGGATCTACCATATTTTCTGGTTTGATATCTTTTTTCCCTCGTGTATACAGATAAAAAGATGTAAATATATATTTTTGAAATTATCGGTTTTTTGATTCACACTTTTTTCATCAGTGACTATATAAGCCATTTCAAAAACCAATACATATATCTGACAATATAGTGTCCTTACCCATAATTCTGCTTGAACAAAAGTCCAACTTGTGATCCAAAGAAATGGTAGGTACTAGGTACTCAATATTGTTTTGTTGGTTTACTATCGGTTCATTCCTTTCTGGTATTATACTGCAACTGTGAAGAAGGCGATAAAAATGACCACAAAAAAGTTGGCATTAAAAATTTTTAATACAGAGTAGTGTACTCTTAAGTCCGATTGATCGTGATAAAACCACCTGTAATGATCTATATTGAAAGGGTTTATTTTTGGGAGAGATTAATTTTTGGAAAAAAAAGTTTTTGGCTTTCTTTTTTTCCATCTTGATACAAAAAATGTGGGCATCTTTCAAAGAAAGGAATCAATTTCAAAATACATACATACAATACTATACAAAGATGTGAATATCAAGCAAAGAAGTAACTTCCAGACATGGACTGGAAGAAAAAACCCTTTCAAAACAGCTATTCTCATATAAACATTGAAGTACACGAAACAAAAATATTTTCGAAACAAATACTTTTTTATGAACGCTAAATTATACGAAAAACAATTTTCTCTATTCCGTTTGTATTCCAAACATCCGTATGGGATCGAATCAGATATCATTCACAGGATTTCTATACAATATAATCAATGAAAGAAGTAAAATTTCACTTACATGGAACACTGTCTTCCTCACTGCTAGACATCCGATGTTTCGCCGTAAGACACTTGTGTCTGAAACTTACTCCTTTGCATGATTTACATATCTTTGTATAAGAGTTAGTTTTTTGAAATTGATTTCTACCTTCCGTTCTTTGGAAGATTACCAAATTATTTGTATCAACATGGAGAAGTAGAAGGCGAAAAATTCTCTTTCTCAAAGATTTTTTTTAAAAATCAATGTATGAATCTTTCAAATAATAAACTTCATTGGACACAAATTTGAATAATTACAAGAAAGTAATTCAAATCATGAAATTATGAAACAACAACAAAAATTAATTAGCGCAGCGGCAGGAAAACCCGAAAAAACATGCAGCACCACATCATCTGAAGATTTTGATCTGCCAATGCTCTCTCTCTCTTTCATGAAACAAAATGTAGGGTATCTCCAGAGGTTCCAATAAATTCAAGACATCGCCAGAACACTTAGTAACATGACTATCGTCAAACTTAAAGAAGTCCGTTTCGTCTTTGACCAATGCGTAATAATGACCAGATTCAAGTAATAGTTTCATAGCCATCCAAAGTAATCTTGAACTTGTATTGAAGTGAGTTTCTACAAACTGCATAAACCTTCTTGAATGGTGGGTTTCACGAAAACCCTGAGAAAACTCATTACAAACTGCAGATAAGTTCGTATCTCAAGATTTCGAAATATTTATATTGATCAATATACAATTTTGTTAAGGAAATGAAACATTATTTCAGCAGAAGAACATTGGTGTAACGGTATCTCAGGGTTTTGCTCCGTTGGTATGGTATCAATAAGGGCTCAGTTCAGAAGTGGATAGAAAGTTTATTGAGAACAGCTAGAGCGGTTGAAATAATTACCTAACACAAATAAAATATGTTCTTAACACAGATAAAATACTTAAATTTCGGTAATCTCTTAATTGATTGATAAATAACAATTATTTTGTGATGAAAATATTACTACCCATCTCATATAATCGCAGGGGCAGTTTCCATTAATTAATAATTCATAGATAGGTAGGTACATATAAAACCAAAAAACAATTATGGCAATCGCCAAAACAGCTGGATTTGGTCGACGTGAAAGCAGTAAACCCGAAAAACTCGTGTAATATAAAGATCGGAAAAAATTATCCCTGTATTAGTCGCGACAGAATGAATAAAATCAACACACGTAGGGAAACAACTGACCCAACATATTTATCAAAATGGGGTACCGCAGCTATTGATAATGTTTGATGATATTTCATTATAACCTGCACATTATGCTCCCACCTCATAAATAAATTCTGGATCCATTCGTGTTATATCATTTTGTTTTCGGTTTTAGCGGTGCTGATTGTTCAAATGAGGATTCCGATTCTGTGTTCTATTTCATGAGCCAAATATACTTTTGTTTGAAATATAAGCCGCCTCTGTACCTGATCACAAGTGAGGTGGCGGTATCTACCGGTAGACTTATGAAAAAAATTTCAGTTTCAGTCGAAGCTGAACAACCTCAGGAAATCTCGTGAGGGTATTAGCGGGGCCATCTGGAAGCAAATAGCTGAAACTGTGGAGCAATATGTCACTCAAACTGACTTGAGACGCTCACATCTGGCTGAATTGAAAAGGTTGGATTCGGAGGGCGCTGTTGAAATTTCTAAAAACGAGGAGCGCATAAAAAAGGAAGAGGTAAAACATTCCAGTTAGTTATTAGAATAAAATATTGAAGAAGTATAGTATCTGAAAATGGAAAAATAATAATTCTCAAACATTGCTTGCTCAATTGAATAGTATCCACCTTGCATATCCGAAAACGTAAGAATCCAATCAGTCAGTAACTTATCGTATTCATAAATTTTGACTGAAAATTGAAAATATCAATTGAAAAAAATCAAATACCTATTTTTACTTATAGCTTTCGTCAGTGATCGACGTTTCGGAAATCATTCTTTTTCCGTTTCCAAACCTGAAATTCACTATAAAACATAAGCCTCAAATTGTGGTGGCTCCAATTCTTTTGGCATATGTCATTCACTATAATTCACTATGAAACGTGATCCTCATATTGTGATAGCTCCAATTCTTTCGACATAATAATATGTCATTCACTATAATTCACTATGAAACGTGAGCCTCATATTGTGATAGCTTTAATTCTTTTGACATATGTCCAGATCTCATTTGAGAATGTTTTTTGAGAATTCAGTTGAGGTTCACTTGGGATAATTAATACTCTTCAGCAGATTATCTAATGATTTACCTTAGTTTATTTTTTTGAATGTGTAAAGTTATATACCCAAAAAACAAAGGAAAAATACATCGAATCATCACTTTATTAATGTTACTTCTAATTGATCCCTCCACTGACGTCATCGATTTTTGAGTGACTTAAAAAGTTTTCTCTGTAACGAATATTGTTCAAAGAAGCGGTAAATGCAAACATCCCCAATGTTTGGATAGTAACATTTTGCAAAGAGTTATAGGCGGGGCATTTTTGGAAATTTGAATTTCCCATCAGTTTTTTGCACCTGGAAATAAGGGTAAACCCTAACCCTTATTTTCATTTCGATATGAAATAGTCTGATATTGAGAAACAATTTTGATTGAAATGAGTAATTGTTATTGAACCACCTAGATTCATGTTTAAATGTATGTTGTTTATGATTTTTGCTGTTGAATTTATTATATTTCTATTTCCGGTGTTTTTGAATCACATATATTTTTAACACATAATAATCACACTCGAATGTACAGAATGTTCTCATTAGAATCATCAGTTTTGGAATATCAAAAAATCATCAAGTACCAGTCTCGATGAACCGTTTTCATGAATATTTTACGATATTTCATGATTTAAATTCACTATTGCAAAATCTCATGTGTTGAGATTGTACTCATTTTCGAAATATTTTAGGAAACTCTGTTTTGAACTCGAGTTCAGATCGGAACCTTTCAAATTATAAATACATTTGAAAAAACAAGAACCACCAATTTTTTGTGAAAGCCAGGTCATAGTTTTCTACTTCTACATCTTTATACAAAAAAATGTGGAAATCTTCCAAAGACAAGAAGTAAGCACTTACTTTAAAAAAATTAACCCTATACAAAGATGTGAAGATCATACAAAATGTAACTTCTGTTGAATTATTTTTTGAAAACAAAATTTTTGATCGGTGTAAATGGGTGCAACAATGTTAATAGTTTGGTGAACATATAGACTGCCAATTGCAAACCGGAATTGATGTTCAAAAAGGTTGATTTTCAAACTAAATTCAAGACATAACATATTAAAATAATCACAGGTTGTATAAAATTCATTCAATGAGCATGTATGAATAGCTTTCTCAAGCAATCTATGCTTGAGGAAGCTTTTGTGTAGCGAAACACGTCGCGGTTTGTAAAAGCCTTTATAGTGAAAATCATACAATAAACTGTATTAATTAGGTATTTTTTTTATTCAGGTAAAATAGAATGAAACTTTGAACGAATTATCAAAATATCTCTACAAATGAGGAAGTTGCCGGCAGTTGCAGTTGCAAACTGCAAGCTGCAACAATAATTTCGTCCAGCGTGTGACGTCATCTGACCTAATCCGCTGAACATGACATCAAAGACAATCCAAATAAATTCTGGGCATATGAAAATAACAAAAAAGTTCTACCAGCATTTCGGACAGAATGGACAATCTCTAGATACTCCTTCAGATATTTTTGATAGCTTCGCTGATTTTTTTCTCAAAATCATATATCACCAGCTCTCCAACCGAACTGAGCGTTGACCATCCGTATTCACGAGTCTTGAACATTCATTACTCCGAAGAAAATGAAGTGTTCGCTGCTTTGCAACAAATAAAACTGAAAATGACAACAGGTCCCGACAGCATCCCTGCACTGATTGTCAGAGATTGTGCATATGTTTTGGCTCGTCTTTTGACAATATTAATAAATATCTGCATCAGAACTAGTACCATCCCAGATCTTTGGAAATAATCTAAAGTTCGTCCAATTTATAAAAACGGGGGCAAGTTTGATGTCGGTAATTATAGACCCAAAGTGTTTGAAATCCTCATCTATAGCAGGTTATATCCTCATCCGAGCAATCAAATTACAACACTTCAACATAGTTTTATGAAAGGTCGGTCGACAATCACCAACCTTTTCAATGTTACCCAATATATATGAGTATGGTGTGTCTCAAGGAACAATTCTGGGTCCAATCCTTTTCAATACTTACCTCTACGACTTATATATGCAGCTAGTTAAAGGAGATATTATCAGCTACGCAGACGACACTGCTAAACTGTATACTGCAAAGAACTGGAATGAGTTAAAGGGTATTGCAGAAACAGATTTCAAACAAGTTATCCAATGGTTCAGTAGTCGTCTTCCAACAATAAATTTTGACGAAACCATTTTCATTCCCTTTACGTCATACCCCAAATTTCTTCCAACATATAAATCCCTCAGTATTACTTTGAGGGATAAGGAAGTAGTGAAACTATCCACAGCAGATAATATAAAATACTTAGGTATCTTTGGGAAAGAAAGTTTTTGGCTTTCTACTACTCCATCTTGATACAAAAAAATAGATGAGAAAACAGAGCATTCAGAAAAACTTTCCTAATCCACCTCTAACGATTTATTTCCTGAAGCCCTGATGTTATTTGAAACTGATAATAAAATAGCATGTTTGTATAGAAAGCGCAACTGAACGATACCGAAATAAAATATTGTATCTCTTTTTCTGCCGTTAGTAATGTGAGGTGAACAATCAATAAATAGTCGATGTTAATTAGTTAAAAAAATTAATCTCAAAGCGATCATTTTCAAATTTACGATTATATTGTGAAATGAAGTCTATATCCATTTCCAATGTGTGTAATAGAAATTCTTGGAAACTTCTCATGAAAATTCTCAACAGATGCACTGACAGGTTTATTAAATTGTTTATACCTCATCATTTCACTATGAAGGGGGAACGCGAGATAAAATAATTAAAACTGGTTTTATATCGTTCGTGGTATGGACGTCCAGGAAATAATTGAGATGTAAATTTTGTCTGATTTTTGTTGTTTAGACATTCGAAACTTATTTTAGAGAAACCTAAGTACCATGACAGTTCAATTAGTAATATACTTGTTTTCTACCGGTGGAAATTATTTGAAACAAACAATACGACATGATTCGCTAACACAGTAGCTTCTTCAACAGTGATTTGAATTCAAACGAATAAATAATAAATAAATAAAACAAATAAAGTTTGTGGAGATCAAGTCGAGAGGTGTAGTTTATGAAATTATATTCTAAATTATCAATTTGAAAGTATTCACCGCACTAAAAGTCCCTGAATATTGTATTTTCACGATTCCAAAGTATCAGATAGGATGATTTAGCTGTTCATTTTGTAGGTCCCTTTTTCTCGATATCCATTTATTGCGGCAAAAAATAAAAAAAAAACTCTACAGAATTGTTTTTTTGCAGATTGCGATAGATAACTCAAAAAAAGAATACGCTATTGTGCAACATGCTCAGGAAGGTAAAATCAATTACCTTGAACTTCAACTGAAAATCCTGAACAAGCATTTCTTGAACATTCGCAGAAATCTTCAGTTGGATCTTCAAACCGATGAGAAACAGATGAAACTCCTCACCGATATATCTGCCAAATCATTGAAATATTTAGAAAATTTGAACCAGAAAGGACAACACATCACCAACCTAGCTGAAACTTGTAAAAAGTTTGAAACTGATAGGGAAAAACTTGTTAAGTGGATACCAAAAACACGCGAGTTTCTAAATAGTGGAGAGGAAAGTTCGTCTGAAATGGAATCTGAGGGCATAAAAAAAACGATGCCGGAAATATCTGTTGATGGTTCAAAAGTCTTTGAAGATCACTCAAGTAACATACCGGGTATTGACGAATTTATATCTTCATTTAATTTATTTTTTGAACTCCAATGAATCTTTGTGCGAAACATTTACAAAAAAAAATGTATTAAGTAGTTTCAAGAGTTTTGTTCGTTATAATGTCATGTATTTTTGTAGCTCCATATCCCAATGAATATTTATTCTACTGTGTCATGGTATACAGGGCGTTCCAACGAAAACTTGACCCCCACTATAAGTCAGAAAAAGACGTGTAATCAAATATTTCAAAGAAATATGAATGATAACTAATTCTGATATACCAATCATACCCGAAACTTTACCCCCTGCGGTCAGCAACTACCCCCCCTATTTTCTCAATGGCATAGGGGTTGAGTGATACATCATTTGAAAGGTCTTTCGGCCCTCTATTACTTCTGTAATTTTTTTCGGAATTGGTTCATTCGTTCTTGAGAAATTTAGTGTTGAACTTTCTATTAAAAAAAAACAGGACATTCACTATCGCTCATTTTATTGAGGAAATCGACAAAAGTAATATCAATGACAACACAATCAAGTGTTCGAAATGACCTACATCTAGTTCCAAATTATAAATTCTTGCAGCAGCTTTAGCACATTCATTATTTCGATGATAGGCTGCAACAATTTCTATTCTTTCATCAGTAGAATAAACCATGTTGGAACACAGTGAACAAGGATGACAGAATAATAATTCGTGAAGAAGTGACAGTGGCCAAGTATCTATGTTTTGATCTGCGACAACTAGATTCAACAAAAAGTAACAGTGCAGAAAAAACTAACAGTGTCGTCCATTTCAAAACGTTTACTACTAATTAAATAAATTCTGCATATCTAGAAGACCAACTAAATCAGTTACAATGAGCTTATTCTCTAATAAACGGGTTCAATTTTTTTTCAACACATTCTTTACCGAAGGAAGCATAGTAATATTTGACCTTTCAAATTAGAAAGCCAACACATTTCGCTACTGTTGCATTTTTTGTTGCTTCAAAAGAAAATGAAACGGAAATCAAGGAAATGAAGTCAAAATCTGAGATTATATTAAATATGTAGAATTTCACATTTGACTGTTTGCTCATATTAATTATTTCACCTGTTTTCTCATTTAATTATTTACATATATTTTCTCCATTTTCATTTTAGTTCCTAATACCTAATCACAAACTTAATATTCACTATTCATATTGATACTTGTGTTTTCTTGATGATCCCTATTCAAAAAAATGATTCTTAGAATAATAAAGACAATACAATACAAAATCTCTAGGCAGATCAAAAATGTTCCTAATTGAAAGTAGTTCAAATAACCTTGCTGCTTCTCTTGCTTGAGATACAGTTTTGTCAATCAAATTTCCATTTACAAAAATAAACGTTCCTCAATACTACATGTCACTATAACATTTTCATTTGATGTAAAGTAATATAACAATATGTTTTCAGATTATGCCAAATTAAAATCATATTCAAGATCTGCTCCATCAGAAGATCGCCAAAGGCCCAAAACGTCAATTCCTGAGAGGATTCTATCGCCGCAGAAGACAATTCCAAATACTCCAACTCCGGAACCTAACAATGTGACAACTATTCAAAATATCGTGTTACAAGCAAAACCTCATTCCAAAAGCTCATCGCCATCATCGTCCAATTCTTCTGTATCTCTTGAAGACAAATCAAAGAGCATTTTGGAACGGTGTTTTGAATCATTGAAAGACTTGGAAGGTTTCTGGATTTCCTATAATAAAGTAGAAGTCGACTTTCTGGAAATTAAAGACGAAAAGAAGCTTCTCGAGAAGGAAAATAAACAATTGAGGGGCATGATTAGAGCAGTCTTAGAAGCAGCAGCTCTTTCAAAGTCGTTTCCCAATAGTAAAGTTTCCACTAGACTACCTTCTAGGCGAAGAAGTATATATTCTGCTCCTTTGAGACGAATAATTTTTTAATTGATTTATCAGTTATGGTTTTTCACCGTGAAGGAACGGCTACATGGAATGACTTACACTACCGAGGCTAATGCTAGCTTATAGAAGTATGAGACAAGTCTTGTTTTCTAATTGAGAACGTTTTTTCTCTCGCATCAAATTTTTTTATAATATTAAGGTATAATCTGGTTGTATGGAACAATTTAAATTACTTATTTATAATATCAATATTCTAATGTGAAACGTTATAACTCAAAAATCAGTTAATCCTTATTATTCTTCAACATTAAGTCTAGACAGTTAAACAAACATCTTTGGGTTTGACCCAGCGAAAAATATCAAACACATTTATCGAATTGAATGAAAAATGAAAATTTTGTTTTATTTCAGCTTTCTCAATTACTTCGACGGTAGCACATAATTCAGCTACGATAATGTAATAGGGTATTTTTTCAAACAATTATTCTTTTCAACTGAACATTTGTAGAAAATCAAGTTCTTGCAACCATTTTTTGGAACTTTTCATGATTTCGGGATTTTATATCGTCTTCTGCTTGAATTTCTTCCTTTCATTTCGTCAGCGCCAGTGAATGGCATCTTCAGAGATCAATTAACAGAAGGATGTTTGAAAGGTTTGATCTGCTTAGTTTGTTCCTTCTGCTGAGTAGGTCCAAGCGTTCTCGACGTTCAACAACGCAACAGCAAAAGCTTTTCAACCCTTCATTTCAAAAGTAACCGACAGGGTCTGTCGCCTTCTTGTAAAATACCATATCACCTGTGGTGAAGTATATATTTGTAAAACCAAGCGTTCCATCAGAACAAAGTCTATGGATCACAAGGAAGACTGCAGACTGTGACAAAAGGATAAATCAGCTGTGGCAGAATAAACAGTGAGTTCTGAGAAGTTCCGAGTACACCCAACTTCTTTTCCACTGGTCAGGTTTTCACAACCAATCAATTTCTGAATCATCTGGAATCAATGAATAATTTCAACCGAAGATGAGAAACTATGACGATTAATTATATTTGGACAACAACTTTTCGAAAATCCAGTACGACGAGAATACTCGGACCGATAAGAACAACTGCCAAATAATCTGCAGAGATTTGTATGGAATAACCTCACCCTTCTGTCCGGCCACTTATAAATATAGTCTGCATTATGTTTTTTTTTACACTCTCCACAGTTTATTGAAAAATGACAATGATAGAAATTCGGTATAGCAGCTATTGGCACCTGTGTCCATCACTAGATGTAGTTTCTGAAATCTCAGTGAGGAAGATTGACCCATGTACTGCCAAGTAATAATGGCACAGTCGTTGTATTCTTCTCTGATAATTTCTTTTTCTTTCGGATTACCCTTGTAGTGTCAACTAACGAGTTCTCTTACTGCCCCCTTCCCGGAATGAAGTGCCCTAAGATAGAATCTTCCTCACACGGTTACTGTGTGCAGAAGCTAGGATCTCGTCCATCCATCCCCACTCATTCCTGAGTGAACCTCAATCTGCTGATGGGCACACGCAAAGTTGATATCTGACCGGTCGAAAGTCAGCCTTAAGGTGCTTTCACTCTCGTTGTCTGTTGATTTTGATTTGTCATGATTTCACTGTGTGTAATGTTTGCATGGGGATCCCCTTAACCTTGAGACAAGTGTCTATCGGTCGCGAACTATATGTGTGTATCTGACTATATTTATAGGTACTTCCGTAGAAAGTTTTTTTAGAAAATTAGTGTTCTCGTGGATGACCACGCACACGGTAAGTAACTGTGCACTCACTCACTGCGTCATCGCGGCGCGGCCATGTTGGACGCGTGGGTTGAATATCGAAACCAGAATTTTTTATTTTTTCATACGTATTTATTATTGCAGTTAACAATGGATAAGTGGCTAATAAAACGCACATCTAAAGATGCAGGTGGCGGAAGTCCTGATAACGCATCACAAAACACGTAGTTTTTGACAACATATTCTTGTCGCCTCATATTCTACAATGACAACTACTGTTACGAGTAATATGAGTCGTGAAAACAATGCCGCCACTTCAAGTACTAGTAGTGTTATTACTATCGATGGCAGCAGATCAACATCTAGTTCCACTACTATAACTATTAGTCATAACAGCGATGATTGTAGAGCCATTTCACGTTCAACAGCCACATCTACCATACAAATCGATACAGAGAGTGACGCTTCAACTTCAACTAAAAAAGCAACAGCTACATTGGAGACAACTGGGAAGCGTCAACGCATTTTTAAAGAATCGTACATCCAGTTTGGTTTTAAATGTACAGTGTTGAATTTTGAAGAACGTTCACAATGCGTTGTTTGTTCGGAGGTTTTGGCAAACGAGAGCATGGTGCCGGCCATATTGAAAAGGCACCTAGAAACTAAGCATCCACAGTTAAAGAATAGAGATGAATCTCATTTTAAACGACATGCCGCCAAACTAACGTCACAGCAGATTAATTTCCAAAAATACACAACAGTTAACTAAAAAGCGTTACAAGCATCTTTCGAGGTTTCCTTTTTGATTGCCAAAACTAAAAAACCTCACAACATTGGCGAGACGCTCATTTTGCCAGCTGCAATAAAAATGGTTTCGATCATGCAAGAATATTTCTACTTGAACGGGAACCAAAGCTAGCGGAATATTTCTTGAATGAAAATTGGCTGGCAACAGTTGGCTATCTTTCGGACATTTTTGAAAAACTTAATGATTTAAATCAATCTTTGTAAGGGAAAAGTACGAATGTATTGATTTTGGCTAACAAAATAAAAGCTTTTTGTAGGAAAATAAGGTTGTGGATAGACGAAATCAGTGCTGAAAACTACGAGATGTTCGCATGTTTGGAGAAATTTTCTGAAGAAAGCAATATAAAGCTCGAAGAAGAAATTAAAACCAAAATCATCATGCATCTTACAAACCTTAAGCAAGACTTGGTAATACGATTCCCAGATACGTCACACGGCGACCAATGGATAATTAATCCATTCACTTGTGATCTTAACACTGTGAAGATGAACTTAAAAGAAAAGGAGCAGCTGATCGATTTATTGTCCAAGCATTATGTTTTTTTTTACACTCTCCACAGTTTATTGAAAAATGACAATGTTAGAAATTCGATATAGCAGCTATTGACACCAGTGTCCATCACTAGATGTAGTTTCTGAAATCTCAGTGAGGAAGATTGACCCATATACTGCCAAGTAATAATGGAATTTAGTCTCTGCACTGTCGTTTTATTCTTCTCTGATAATTTCGTTTTCTTTCGGATTACCCTTGTCGTGCAATGAATTATTTCTAATAGTATTTGGTGGCCATCTCCACAAACAAAATATACCCCAGCTGGACGTAGATATATTCAACTTATTCAATACGCTAATTTGTATTGCGAATTTATTGTTTTCTTTCATATACAGAGAATAAAACTCTTGCCGAAAAAAATAGTTCTAAAAAACAATATAATTCTACTCTACTTTATGCAAATGATCAAAATCAACAGTCTGATCCACAGATGGCAAATTCTTGAAGAAAAGTGTTTAACTATCAACTAACGAGTTCTCTTGCTGCCCCCTTCCCGGGGTGAAGTGCCCTAAGATAGAATCTTCCTCACACGGTTACTGTGTGCAGAAGCTAGGATCTCGTCCATTCATCCCCACTCATTCCTGAGTGAACCTCAATCTGCTGATGGGCACTTCACGCAAAGTTGACATCTGACCGGTCGAAAGTCAGCCTTAAGGTGCTTTCACTCTCGTTGTCTGTTGATTTCAATTTGTCATGATTTCACTGTGTGTAATGTTTGCATGGGGATCCCCTTAACCTTGAGACAAGTGTCTATCGGTCGCGAACTATATGTGTGTATCTGTAAGAAAGTGTGTGTATAGTCCTGCGGTCCGCAACCCTGGGGTATTTATGGGGTCGTCAAAATTCAACAAGGTCCTGTACTTATCGAGTTTTATTAAGGTTTATGCGTAAAATATAACCTCTCTTTACTTACACAATTACACAATGTCCTTAAAACGGAGTGATTCGAAAATAATTACGACCGCTCCCGCGCCCCCACCCCGATTTCTCTTCCTTCGTTCAGTCCAGCCAGTCTGTCTGTTCAGTCAGTTCTATCCGCACGTGTGTACGCATCGCCGCTTTGTCGATTGCAAATACATACCTCTATATTTATAGGTACTAAATTGATTTCAAAACACGAAAGATTACTTCCGTAGAAAGTTTTTTAGAAAATTAGTGTTCTCGTGGTTGACCACGCACACGGTAAGTAACTGTGCACTCACTCACTGCGCCGCCAAACTAACGTCACAGCAGATTAATTTCCAAATATACATAACAGTTAACTAAAAAGCGTTACAAGCATCTTTCGAGGTTTCCTTTTTGATTGCCATAACTAAAAAACCTCACAACATTGGCGAGACGCTCATTTTGCCAGCTGTAATGAAAATGGTTTCGATCATGCAAGAATATTTCTACTTGAACGAGAACCAAAGCTAGCGGAAAATTTCTTGAATGAAAATTGGCTGGCAACAGTTGGCTATCTTTCGGACATTTTTGAAAAACTCAATGATTTAAGTCAATCGTTGTAAGGAAAAAATACAAATGTATTGATTTTGGCTAACAAAATAAAAGCTTTTTGTAGGAAAATAAGGTTGTGGATACACGAAATCAGTGCTGAAAACTACGAGATGTTCGCATGTTTGGAGAAATTTTCTGAAGAAAGCAATATAAAGGTCGAAGAAGAAATTAAAACCAAAATCATCATGCATCTTACAAACCTTAAGCAAGACTTGGTAATACGATTTTCAGATACGTCAATCGGCGACCAATGGATAATTAATCCATTCACTTGTGATCTTAACACTGTGAAGATGAACTTAAAAGAAAAGGAGCAGCTGATCGATTTATTGTCCAATGAAAGCCTTCGATCTATTTTCAAAACCACGGATCTATCCAAATTCTGGGTAATGATGGAAAAGGAATATTCACTGTCATACAAAACATCTCTGCTGAAATTGCTGCCATTCGCATCTACATACCTGTGCGAGACAGCTTTCTCCACATTGACTGCTATAAAAACAAAATATTGCTCCAGACTTAACGTAGAACCTGATTTGAGGTATATGTATCTATTTTTTTCTTAAATAAAATGTTGAAATAATTGCTTATCTCATTTAATGCCATCATA